ACTGTTTTGTTTTGGGTATTTTTGAGTATTTTTTTTTCCCCCTCATGGCTGAAATACAGGTGTTTCCCCCGCTGTGGGATCAATTATGGGAGTAATACTCTTGTCTGTGATTTCTTGCTCTTTCTTGATTGTTATATTTTTGTCTTGTTCTTAGGTATTTTGATCTGTTCTCAGGGATTAAATGTGGGAGGATCATTCTTGTTCCTGATTGACTCTCAAATACTATATCCTGTCTGTTTTTAGTTACTTTGGAATTTGTTTATCAAGATATATGTGTGTGGTGCTTGTTCCCATGGTGTTATGTTTGTTCTTTATTGCTGCTGGAACACAGAAACTTCCCCATTGTGGGATCAATAAAGTCCTACCTACCTACCTACCTACCAAACAGTGCAAATAAAACTAACCTAGCCATTGTTGTGTCACTACAAGGCAGAGTATGATTCATCATCACAGTTCCATTTGACAGAATGTTATGTCCACACATCTGTCGCTGAGTGATACTGTTTTAAACAGCTTCTTAGGGCTGTCCCAATTGTCAATTTTTGGCTTTGGAGCTTCGCTAGTAATTATCAGCAAATATCCAAAATTTGCCAGGGCAGTGGTGGCAGGTTGAAAACTTACATCTCCGTTCTCAGCTGACATTGTACTGCAGCTAAAAGTAGCTCATGTCACACCATGTTCAATGTTAGGACAGGGGCACCATTCTGGGAAGAGGCATTGTATTTACCTTCATACATTCTTATTTTGTTTGGCTAAAAAGTTGCATAAATCACTTGGATCTCTCTTTACAAACTGTGGTAGTTCAGAATGGATAACCTCAGCTGACTGTAGCCAACTCATAGTGGACCAAGAGATCCTGTCAACCACAGTGACAGACTGAAAAATGACTCTGCAGCCTGATCTCAGCTCCGCTCATCCCTTTGTTCGGGAGCTAACACTAGACAGCGGCTGTCGGCAGGTGACGCTGCAGATGAATCAGTTTCTGCCTTGCCTGCATAGGCGTTGGAACATTTTATTCAGTAGGACACGTGCATGCACATTACCAGTTACAGTGGTGTGAAAAAGTGTTTGCCCCCTTACTGATTTCTTATCTTTTTGCATGTTTGTCACACTGTAATGTTTCAGATCGTCAAACAAATTTATATATTAGTCAAAGATAACACAAGTAAACACATCATGCAGTTTTTAAATGAAGGTTTTTATTATTAAGGGAAAACAAAATCCAAAACTATAGAGCCCTGTGTGAACAAGTGTTTGCCCCCCTGTCAAAACACTGGTTTATCGCACCTGAGTTCAATTTCTCTTGCCACACCTGTTCGCAATCAAGAAATCACTTAAATAGGACCTGCCTGACAAAGTGAAGTAGACCAAAAGATCCTCAAAAGCTAGACATCATGCCGAGATCCAAAGAAATTCAAAAACAAATGAGAAAGAGAATAATGGAGCTCTATCAGTCCGGAAAAGGTTATAAAGCCATTTCTAAAGCTTGGGGACTGCAGGCTGGTCAAGAAGGCCCAATGGCAGCTGTACTTCCTGAGGAGGCTGAGGAGGGTTGGCATGTCACCCAGGATCCTTTGCAACTTCTACAGCTGCATCGTTGAGAGCATCTTGACCAGGTGCATCACTGTCTGGTATGGCAGCACTAATGCTATGGATTGCAAGTGCCTACAGAGAGTGGTAAAGACTGCGGAGAAGGTCACCAGGACTCCACTGCCTTCTCTGCAGAGCATTTACTTTTTCATTTTATTTAGGGTGCGTAGGAAAGCTGCCTCCATCCTCAAAGATCCCACCCACCCCCAGCATGGACAACCTGAATTGTTTATATTCTCAGTTTGCACATGCATAATTGCACATTGACTGCTGCACATGCTGCTTCCATGCAGCATACATTCTCTTATTATATTCTTATATATTTTTTATTATATTGCTGCATTTGCTGCTTAAAGTGCATATTTTTATTATACTGCTGCATTTGCTGCTTGAAGTGCCTTAGATTTTGTGTTACTTATTTATCTACTTTATATTTTATTTGTACTTTGTGGCATTCATGTGGACGGCAAAGTAAGAATTTCATTGTACAGGGCAACACGTTTCCTAACTGCATATGACAAATAAACACTTTGACCTTTAAGCTATTGATTTTTGGTTTGGCACCACCCTGTGTCGCTGGGTTGGTGAGGTGGCACGAACCTAAAACATTGCTCAGATCATCAAGCCAGTTTCTTTTAGAGGTTCCCAGGGCAAGATATAAACATTGGGGTGACCGTGCTTTCACGGTTGCAGCTTCTAAATTGTGGAATAGTCTACCTCCCAATATTAAATCATCTACAGACTTGATAACTTTAAAATCATTGGTTAGAACATATTTATTCACTTTGGGTTTTAATACATAGTATTGTCTGATGCTTTCTTCTTTTAACTGTTGATTCTGTGTAATTTGTTTTATGTTCCTGTGTTGTTTTATTTCTGTATTGATGTTATTTACTTTGGTCAACCAGATGTTGTTTTTAAAGTCCTATATAAATAAATTTTGATTTGATTTCATGCGGACCAGACCATTCTGGTAAAGAAGGAGCTGAGCCAAAAGGCAAAGCTCTCAATTTACCAGTGAGTCGACGCTCCAACACTCATTTATGGTCACAAGCTGTAGGTAATGACCGAAAGAATAAGATCACAAAAACAAGCTGAGCCAAAAGGCAAAGCTCTCAATTTACCAGTGACTCGACACTCCAACACTCATTTATGGTCAGAAGCTGTAGGTAATGACCGAAAGAATAAGATCACAAAAACAAGTGGCTGAAATGAGTTTCCTTCGTAGGGTGGCCGGACTTACCCTTAGAGATAGCGTGTGGAGTTTGGACAACTGGAAGGGACTCAGAGTAGAACTGCTGCTCCTTCACGTTGAAAGGAGCAGTTTGAGGTGGTTGTGTCATCTTATCTGGATGCCTCCAGGGGTGTCTCCCTTTGGACGTCTTCCAGGCACATCTATCTGGTGGGACACCCCGGGGCAGACTCAAAGCATGCTGAAGAGATTATATATCTCATTGGGAATGCCTCAGAACCCTACCAGTGGAGCTAGCTTTAAGTAAAGAAAGCTTTCCAGGTCTGTATAAGGTAAAACAGCAGCTGGAAGTTTACTGTTCACCAGTGCCAATTGTTTACTTGTGTTAAAAGAGTAGATCTTAGAGTTTATACTCTAAACAAATACTTTAATGTTTGTATAGTCTTTCAAATAAAAACTAAATTAATTGAATATCTGCTTAACTGAATCAAAAATCACTGTATTGTATCTACAAATTTTGCTGTATCTAATCGTGGACTAGGTGCCGAGTTGTGCATCAAACTGTGCGAGAGGGAGAGATGCACACCCCTATTTCATGCGATTGCATATATGCCATGTGTACACCGATAGAGTAGCATGTGCTCATGCTCGTGTCTATACCAGGCACATGTTCACTCACAGATGGACAATGCTTGGTGTACAAAAATTGCACAGAAGAGCCTATACAAACACCTTGTACAAAGGAGACCTATGGTCCAAAACTAATGGTACACAACAAAGGAATTACTGGCTATACTTTTCTATGTCAGCCGTGCCTGGTAGGCTAGTGGTTAAGGCGCAGCTTTCTTGCCGCTGCGGCCCAGGTTCGAGTCAGGGTTGCATCAGGAAGGGCATGCAGCGTAAAATACGTGCCAACTGTCAACATGCGAGTTGTCAGTGTGACGATTTGCTGTGGCGACACATAGAATGGGAAAAGCCAAAAGTGACTTTTCTAGAAGTCAGGGTAGTTCTAAACCACACCTCCATTCTCGTTTCATTGATTGGAATCCAGGTTTGCTAAAACCTGACTCCAGTTGACGTTTAGTGACATCAGAAGCCTTGTGTTGCCAAAACATTCATTTTCACCATCATTTTCTCTTTTTAATGGTTGTGTTCAATAAAGACATGAAAGGCCATTACTGTTTTATCAGCTTAGAAATATTCTTATTGTTGATATTTGTGATTTTGGTGAAGATCAGATAACATTTCATGACCAAGTTATACAGAAAACTAGGAAATTGTGAACAATGCCATTACTTTTCCTTGCTACTGTATACTGATGCCTGCTGGATATCCAAGCAGGCAGGGGTCTCTGATAAAGTTGCTTAACAAGTCCATTAGACCAACCAGTGTAGCTTAAGAGCAATGTAGAGATATATGGCTATGTCAAGCTGCTGAGTATTTA